TCTGGGATGAGAATTGCTTGACCTAATTGCAAGATGGAAGTTCTTAGGTAGACAGTGGAAAAGGTTTCTAACTGTGTAGAAAATTAAGGACTGTATTATATTACTAAAGAAAGTTGTGTGTGAAAGGTGGTATTTTAAGAATAAGTTGAACAGATGTTTGTGAAGGAGGGATGTGAATTCCCTGATTGTGTGAAATCCCTTCCAGTCCTACTTTCTGACATTCTGACACTTAGTTAGAATGTTTTGTGAATTAAAAGTGAACACAAAAGTCTGTTGTAAGACTCTGAAGTGTTTTGAAAATAAGAAAGCAAGTATGTTCCTTCTGTATTGTTGAATGCTTAGGTGTGAATTATTGTCTATTTGCTGTGCAGTCAGTCCAGTTCACAGAACTGGATTTGTTTTTTAAATAGGTGATGAGGTACCAACAAATTTGCAATTGATTACAGAATTTCATAAAGCACGAAAGAATTTCAATTCTTACATTTGAAAACTATTTCTTAAATAATTGAAAAGATGCATTGTTTTTATAATTTGAGCATGAAAGCTTGTCTAGGAATCTTTAGATTGTGTTTTTTGGTGGTGCTGTTCTATGATGTCACTACAATTTAAAAACATGCTGTAAGCCTGTCAACCCCTTCCTAAGTGTCATAAAATCTAGTTAAACCCTCATAGGAGTTATTTTGAGCACAAGTTAAGGTGAGAGACAAAATCCATGTGTTTTAATTTAAATGAACAATGTGTGGAACTATGGATTTTTAAACTGTATGTTTGAGGTCCAAATTATATGTTGCTTTAGAGTGTTTTCTAGCTAAGTTCATATTCACCAAGGTTTTGTTCTGTTTTAATTTCAGATAAATATGAGAGAGAAGCCAGTAAATATTGGAATGAATTTTACAAGACACATAAAAATAACTTTTTCAAGGATCGCAATTGGCTGTTTCTGGAGTTCCCAGAAATTCTTCCAGAAAAAAGGAGAGAAGAGTTCAAAACAGAAAAAATATCTTTGGAACACACAAAAATAAATAATGACAACAGTTTTTCACTCAAAAATGGAATGTTTGAAGAAGGAGAAAAATACTGGGAGAAAAATTATGGATCTGGTTCTACTGCTGTACAAGGATATGTATATAGTAAAAATCAAGTGAAAGCTCTTCCTGCCAACCCTCAAGGTAAAAAGTGTGGAGAAGAACTTGGCAAGGTCGAATCCTTCCCTGGTTGTGATGCCACTTACCGAATATTAGAGGTAATGCACTGCAAATGTTCTGCACATCTACAGAACTCCACAGAATTACTCAAAAATCTCATGAAGACCCTTACTAAGTATCAGGAAAGCGAGCCTTTGGAATTTTACGTACTACATTCATTTATGGCAGAAACTTTCAGAGAAACCTAAATCTGGACTTGGTTTTCCCATTACAGTTTTTCCATAGTTAGAATAGGGCTAGATTGTCAGATTCCATTTTCATTGAAAGTCAGGATTTTTATTTCCTCAGGACAGGTGTGAGTTTAAGTGATTTGTCTCAAAGTGCAAGTACTTGCTGCATTTTTGCCAAATGGTGAAATTTGACAAGAGTATTGCATTTTCTTAGGCAGTTTGAGAGACTGATTCTCTTTTAACTTCAGAAAAACGTTGGGGAGAAACATGATCGTGTACATGATTTGAGAACTGTGGTATTAGCTGATTATACCTTTTCTGGCCAACATACCTTCAAGTCTAATGGGTCCTACTGGCCAACTAATTTAAGACGAAGATAGCAAGAAAAGGTTTTGTTTGCCCATTTATTTTGATTTTATCTTTCTCTTCTGATTGTAGGTTGGCTGTGGAGCAGGAAACAGTGTCTTTCCTATTCTGAAAGTTCTATGGTAAATTGTGTTGGATTTCCAAATATGAGTGTTGTATTCATATCTTCATTTTCAACAAATGTTGGTGCTGGATCTGTGCTGCAGGAAGCATTGAGTGAACCATTTTACAGTGCTGAGATTCTTAGTGTGTCAAACTACAAATAATATTGGTGCCATCAGTATAGGATGCTCCTCATGTTGCTCCACCCTGGTCTTGGGAGATCATATTTGCTGACAAAGTTTGTCTCTGAGTGCTTTCAGACTGAGTTCTTATAGTTAATCTCTGGCAGATTAAATATTCTCTTGTTTTATAATTCACTGTAAAGCTACCAGGTATTTCTTCAAAAGGCCAGAATCATAGAGACCATAGATAATATCATGTGAGCTACTGGAAAGAAGTTCTATTTTTTCTGAATTGGCTGGTATATTTGTCACATTACTTGTGGTTTTAGTGTCAAGGCACAAGTCCTATATCACATTACTTAATTTATTGAAACGTCTTAATCCACTTAGCTTCCAGTTTTAGAAAAATCTGTTATGACAGCTTGTCCTCCCATCCATGTAGGCAGGAAGGTTTTATTGGAAAGGATATGTATATTTCAAGGGTTGAAATAGATTTCTTTTTTTTTCATGCCTTTAAGAGCTTGAGAGCTACACGATTCGTTATTCTGTCAATGAATTGTGATTGCTAGTATCACCATTATACAAGAATTCTCCATTTTGCAGATATGGAAATACAACAGGAGGAATTAAGTGGTGCAGCAGGGTCATACATGATACCTCTGTTATCAATGCATCTTCATCCCACAGCAAATGCTTTGCTTTAGGCAGCATGTAGTGAAAGGAGAGCCTGGTTTCATATGAAAACTTTGAAAGGAACCCTATATAGAAAAAGATATCACGTGGCTGTGTTGAAAAAGATGAGACAAACTTTTGTGTTTTCCTCACAGGAGGCATTAGTCATAGATTGGCATTTCTGATAATTAAGAAACTACTCCTTAGGTATTTTTCCTGGAGATCTCTATTCATGTGTAAATCCTTCAGTCAATCACTTTGGTTGATAGATTGAACAACTTGCTTGTTTGTCTTGTATATGGCCTAATGGAAAGATCTCTTAATCTCCAAGCAGGCTTGGCATTAGAGAACAGTTGGTTTTACTCTGAATTTAATAATCTAAAAATTGCCATTCTGGCAATTACATGCATATAAAATAATATATCTATATGCATATAATTATATGCATATAAAAACAAGCCAGTGTCAAGCAAGTGTACCTTGGTTCCAAAAGAAAATTTCACTAAAGTTAGTAATGTAACTCTTAAACCTCTTCCCCCTGCCTCCCTTAAAATTTAAGTTAGTGCTTTTTAATACAGTGTGTCATGAAAACACCATCCAGATCAAGCCATGTCTTTGTGTTAAGTGGACTTTTTATGTAGTTAGTTACATAGAGTAGTTAGTTACATAGAATAGTTCCTATTCTGCTCTAAAAAAATGAAAGAAACCCCCAACATTCTAGCAAGTCTATTAGGTAATCAGCTCAACCTTTCCAAAGGGACTGACTGGGTCCAGAGCCTGGCTGCTTGTCCTCATTCATAATAAATATGTGAATTCAGCAATTCTCATGGTGGTCACAGAGCTGATAAAGGTTTTGCTCAGCAAATCAAACAAGCATGGAGTATATTTTGTTCCAGAAGCATTCTCCTGTTGAGCCTTCAGAAGTCACTGGCTTAGCTGTGTATACTGTGAGATCCACAGGCACTGGCAGAGTTTATCGATTCCCTTCTAAAGAAGCCATCTATCCAAAATCTTAAATATATTTTTAATTAATTAAATTGATCGTGAGTTGATCATGAAGTCATCTCTTTGTGGGTTTTGAGTAGCTTTCTCAGTTTATCCTTCTGAGGTGAAAAACTTCTCCCTAGAATTACTAGTATCTAATGAATGGTACAAGGAAATTTGCAGCTGGCTGAGTCTTGGATGGGAGAAGGGAATACAGTGCTGCAGGAAATTCTTATTCATCCTAGCTGGAAAGCAAAGGAGATAATGGAGTGCAGTAACCGATAATTCTTAATCAAATCAAAAGAATAGCAAGGTGGTACATGGAACCCCAGACTTCTGCAGAACTGGGTGACTTTTGCAATTCTCCATCCCTGCCCAAATCATATTGCTAACTAAGCTGCATCCATGGGTTAATAATGCAGAGCTCCTGTAAGAAAATGTGACCTATTAATGTGCATTTATGCATTACAGTACCAGGACATTGTCATCAGTTCTGACAGCCCTCTGTGACCTTTTTTCTTTTCCTTTTTGCTTCCTCACAGACAAGGCTATAATTCTTTTTGTACTAGCTGTCTGTTAGTGTTCTTATGAATTTGTCTGCCCTATTGGTTCATTACAACCTCTGTGGCTTTCCATGTGCTAGACATCAATAAAGCATGCTTGATCAAGCCTGTGGAGAAGCCCAGAGGACCCTCTGAAGTTTCATGAACACTGATGTAGACTTTCATCTTATACATTAATAATTTTCTAACTGATGTTGGTTTTGTTTTCCTAGCAATACACCTGGAACCTTTCTGTACTGTTGTGATTTTGCTTCAGGAGCAGTGGAGCTGGTAAAGGTAATTCATGCACTCTCTTTAGAGTACCTTACAAGCCTGTAATTCAGGAGGCTGCCAGGAAGCCATCTTCATGAAAAAGAATGTGATGGCTTTGACAACTTTTAACTGAAGTTTTCAATATTCCAAAGAACAAAGTCATACTGTATGCAGAGAGGAATGAATACCATCAGTGAGCTTGCTTCTCAGCTTGAGTAAGATACCGGACAGAATAGGCTTTTATATGAGATGTTTTACAATGCAGAATAATTGAAGAAAAAATGTTTCTTGAGTCACAGTAAACGTATTAACTACTACTGTTCTCTCTGTGCCTCTTTTCATCTTTTTCCTGACAGTCACATTCGTCCTACAATTCAGCCTGGTGTTCTGCCTTTGTTCATGATGTGTGTGATGATGCTTTACCCTATCCTTTTCCAGATGAGATCCTGGATGTCATTCTCCTTGTCTTTGTGCTCTCTACTATTCATCCTGACAGGTAAATGAAGACTAAAGGGCAAAGCAAATGGGTTAAATCTCTTTTTTAACGGAAGGTTTTCAATAATACCCAAAGAAGATGATGGATCTTTAATGTTATTTAATAAGCTACAGCATGTATAAGGTATTTTAAATGCTGTTTCCGTTTTCAGGCTTCAAGAGAAAAGCTGGTCATGCTAATTATAATTAGTGAGTCTCCACTCTCCATCAAAATACAAGGGATATATTGTAACTAAGTACATCTCTACTAGAAGGGACAGATTCAAAAAAAGGCAAATTACAAAACCAGGCTGACAATCTTCTAGAAGGTGGTTATTTTTAGTGATCAAAACCAAACATTCGTGATTTAACACCTTACAATGTGTTGATGTAGACTTAGACTGCTGATTTAGCCACATTCAAATGCTTACATGCAGCCCTTTTAAACTAAAACGGATCTGTAATTTTGTAACTCGTTTGGATTGCAAACATTTGATCTAATTTTCATGGGTAGCATTGAGTACTGTTAGCCTTTGCTAATTCCTCTCGATGTCTAATGAACCAAATTTTATGACTGTTAAGGCTGGCTGATTGTGAACATGACCTTTTTTAATGCAAAAAATTTAAAAGAGGGCATGTAAGTTAAACTTCTTGACTCTAACTAGGTTATATGAGGGGAAATACATGCTGTTTGTGTGATAATACATTTATTACTTCAAGAATGTCATTAAAATGGGCTTGGTGTACAGAACAGTATTTGCCTAGGTCTGAGAACTGTTTCTCTGCTACTAGTGATTAGCTTTATACAGGAAAACCTTCCCTGTATAGAATATTTCTACTTTCTGTTTATTCAGACATGAGCACGAGTCACACAAAGCCAGGGTCCAGGTTTCAAAAACAGTTCAATCAGGAGACTTTAGATCTGTAATTCCAGCCATGAAGAAATTGGACAACAGTGGTTCATTCAGTCACTGTGCCTGTAGAAGCAGTACTCAGATGTTCTGTCAAAATTTCTGTGGAGCTTTTCCTATTAGTCTCTTAAGAATGCATTTGAGGTTTTTGTGGTTGATTTTCTGTTTTGTTTGGTTTTTGGTTTTGTTTTTGTTTTTGCTTGTTTGTTTTGGTTTGTTTTTGTTTTTTTTTTTTTTTGAGGGAGGTGGGTTGTCATTTTTGGTTTGGGTTGTTTTTCCCCAGGGCTGACATGGATGCTTTTCTGTACATGCGTGTGTATACACACACAAAGATTTTCATGTAGTTGTCTGTGTTTTGAGACCCACTTTCCAAAGATGCCTTAGTCATTACTTCCATCTCATCGAATTAAAATGACCACATAAAGGAAAATGTGATCCAGATTCATCTTGCTCAATATACATTTTTTTTCTGGAAACTTTGAAAGTGGGAAATGAAAAAGAAAACCAAGGGGATCATGGTGCAGAAGTTATGTACTTTGAAAAGATGGAAAATACATGTAAGAGGGACACATTTATATTCAGAAAATTGTTACTTGGTAATTTCTCTCTAGGCTGTTGTGTTTAGTTTTTGATAATTGCTACTCTTGTAGTCAATTTTTAACAGACTTCAATTATGCTAGAACACACCTAAAATTTCATTGCAGAATTGGAAGTATTAAACTTTCTTCAAGCTGTGTAATTGTCTTTTAGATTTGCTGGATGAAATTTCTCAAAGCACTTTCACTTTTTGTGCACATACACTTCTTTCTGAGTGTGCAGAACTTCTGCTTCTATAGGCAAGGCTGTAATTCTGTGCACAGCTACTGTCCTGAACAGTCTCTCACTCATAGGCGGTGCTGCCTTTTTGGTCTGGGGCAGCAAACTTGGTTGCTTATGTTTGCAAACTTCACCAGCATCTCATCTATTCTCTAAGGATGCAAGGGGTTGTAAATAGGTTGGCTAAGCTACTGAAGCCTGGAGGAATGTTGTTATTTCGGGACTACGGAAGATACGATACAGCTCAACTTCGTTTTAAAGAAGGTAATTCCTGAATGGTTTGGTATTTTACTGTTCATTTTAGCTCTTTCTGGGGAAAAAAAAAGTGACATGTCCTTTTTCATTCCTGCTCTAATTTCTTAGGTCATTGCTTGTCAGAAAATTTTTATGTAAGAGGAGATGGAACCAGAGTATATTTCTTTACCAAAGGTACGGAATGTTATAGTTTCATAGAATGGGTTATGTGTTTCTCAAGGTGATTTGGATTATGAAAGCTCATCTTAAAACATAAATTTAAAGAAGGTTTTATTGGCTTTTTAAAAAATTCTCTGCTTTTAAAAAGACCAAAGCTACCTGTTGTAAGAAAATAGTTTCCTTTGTATGCACACATCATTTGGGATCCTGCAATGTTGCTTACAGACGTCACTGGAAATTTCTCTTTAAGTATCCTGTGTGTAATTGTATGCTCAAATTTTATTATTTAACCATGCACATGATTTCTATGTTAAAATTGAGGTAAACATGCTTGGAAGGAAAGTCTGTAGCTATATATGGCATAAAAGTCTGGATAGTCATTTGTCAGGGGAAGTAGCTTTATCTTGATAATATGTGAACAGTGACCAAATGGCATGCATTTGTTTACTCAACTATGGCACCTGGAACCTTGTGAAGAAAGGGTATCTGTGGATGCTGTGAGTAATAACTAATGTGGTTTGAGCCTCAACATGACAATTGTTACTGCAATATAAATCAAGAGCTGTGAAAATGAATTTCTAACAAATCCTTATTACAGGTAGTGTCCTTTAGCTTTCAAATTGCAAAATAGATTTAATTCCATCTTTGGTTGAACTACAGGTTGGTAATTACTACATTCTACAAATGACTTTCTTTTTTAATTGCAATAATTTTTCATATGAAAAAATAGATGAGGTATGGAACATGTTCACCTTGGCTGGATTAACTGAAGTACAGAATTTAGTTGATCGGCGATTACAAGTAAACAGAAAGAAAAAAGTGAAAATGCAGCGAGTTTGGATACAAAGCAAGTTCCAGAAGCCATTGCAATCTCTGCAGAATCCTGAAGAAAGCACCAAAAGGCACCCTTGTAAATAATTTTACTCCAGAAATGCAGTACAAAATCGAACTTCAGAAACGGAAGGAAATTTGAGTACGTGTGTTTTCATTTAAGTATGCATAAATGTTGTGTTAGCCACTGAAAAGTATTAAAAAGTTCAATAAATGTATTGAACTGAAAACCTTTCTCTGACTTTCTTTTCTTTGTAAATTCATATGTGTAAGAAAAATCTGAGGGGAGATAAAGGCTATTTCTGACTTCTGCTTTATATGCAATAATCTTTTCATAACTGTGACCAGGCATTATTTTACTCCCTTGAATATGAATAGTCAATAAGTATACACCTCATTCTGTTGAAATTCATGGTATGTAAAAAGGTTAGTTTGAAGCATAATTGTTTCAAAGATTTAGAGAAACAGAGTATCTGTTCTCACTATTACCACAGACTGTGGTAATTTCTGAGTCATATCCTTTTCAACCACCGTGTCTTACAACTGTATTTCCTCTTTGGAGGGAAATTTCTTGGTGCATAAATAATGAAGACAAAAATTTTTTTCTGATTTGCATGTAGCTATGATTTCACACTAACTGCATGTGATATGTATACATATCAGATTACTCAGTGATTTTTGTCCTCCTGACTGATTTATTATGCTGTCTCTGCTTTTTGTCTACATGCTCATAAGGAACAGGTCAATTTCAAATACAATACATTACACATTTAAAGTGCTCTAGATTGTAAACTGAATATGTTTCATGTAGAAAACATTACCAAAATGCCAAAACAGTTCTGACACCAAATAGTTAATATTGGATAGTTGTCTGGATAAATACAAATATTATTTCTACGATAGGTTAGATATGCTAGAGGGAGGAGCAAAACCAGTAGTCCTAAGTACATTTTATTAATAGTGTCATGGATTAATGTAATCACACTAGAATTGCAATCTATCTGGCAGCTGAGATATTTTTGTTGTTTACAAAAAGAAGTTGCTTTCTTAGGGATTCTACATTAGAAAGAAAAAACACTGTTTTTTATTGGTTGGGTGGGGATATAGCAAAGGACAGGACTAGTCCTGGCCTTCAATACTTTAAATTCTTTTAAGAAGAAAAGTGAGGTGCAAGCTCTGTTTTCAAATGTAGAACATAATCCCGAAGGCTGTTGAGCTTGTATTTAAAGATTTCATTTTGCCACTCTGTTATTTTAATGTAATTTTAAATCACTTTGCCACAAGGAGGAGAGAACAAGAAAAAGGTGAATGAATAAAATAAATCTCTTTATTTAAACAAGGGTGTGGGATGCATGTAATCTATAACATGTAGTTTTGAGTGTCATTAATACAGTGACACTCAAAGTCTCTTTTGTTGTTTTGTTTTAGGCTGAAGGGTAAACATGTCACAACTGATAGCCCAGCCTGTTGATCTTTTTGCAAGTTGTTAGTTGCTACGACAAGGAGGACTGATGGTCTCCTAGGAAGAAAACCCTAAATTGTCTAAACAGGGATGCCAAATATCTTCATCCCCAGATGTATTTCAAGAATTAGGTACAATAAGGGGTCTGATCCTGCATTTTTGATATATTTGAAACTCCCATTAGAGGAAAATACTGTTTTATGAATCAAGAGGCTTAGGAAGCTTTGGTTAGCAATAGCATTACTGTAACCTGCAATAAAACTCTCGTGGCATAAATCAAAGGTTAAAACACAGCTGTGTTTCTTAAAGCCCTAAGAGATTGTAGCATCCTCATGGAAAATGTAAATAAATGTCTCCTTATATTTTAAATATGTTGCTACTCTGTTTTATTAATTGTGACTTCTGAATATACATAGCTCTTAGCTAGCACAAATCATTTTCACTTGTAGAATTTTCCAGGGAAGTGATGATGATAAGTTCTCGAGCATCGTGCAGTCTTATTCATGTGTGTGACGTAAATTTTCCATTTGTAGAGGCGAATGTAATGTTTGCTTTGGCACTCACGAGGCTATATTGATTCGGGCAAGATTTTAATGTGCTGTTAGTTAAACAAAAGTGTGACTTCACAAAAAACAAACCCTGAATTTTGAATGGCCTTAAGTAAAATCAGCTGTTTCTCTTCCACAATTTACACTTCAAGTATTGGCTGCCTCTTTTAGAATAATAGTGCCTGATTTGGAAGTAATAAGATCAGCTACTATTTTAAGTGTAGAATATCCACTGTCTGAACAGTTGTAAGATTCACAGAAGAGGATATGGAAAAAGGCATAATTCCCAATAAGAACTTTTGAATCTGAGTTGCACTTCCTGTATTTTGGCTTTATGACATTTCAGTTTTCAAAAAGCTTAATCAAAGACATATTTTTAAAATGCTTCCAAATTATCTGTATTAAGCAAGGAGGACTACTGAAATAAAAGAAGAAAAAGAGATGCAGGCATCTATATAGGAAAGGCAGTTTAAAACAGCTAATTGTTAATTTCTGGAGGAAAGAAAAACTAGTTTATTAATATAGGAAACTGCACTTAAGTTTCACTTTTGACATATGAAGTTGATTTTTTAATCAAATGTGTACCTAAAATTAATTAATATGTATTCTATAAATATAAAACATTTTCATTTGTAATTGCAAATTTTCTTTAATTTTTTGTGGTGTTCTTTTTTGGTTGTTTCAAGCATGGCTTCCTAATGGCAATTAGAGAAAGGTGGTCTTGCTAGATCTGAGCTTCAGCTTCATTGGCTTTGGCTTGCTTTATGAATACTGTGTCTTTTTTGTCCAGATGTACATGGTACTTACTGGCTTAGACCTTGCTTAGTTTTTAAGCAAGTGTGAGGCAGTTAAAAAGTAAAGAAAGTGACCAACTTTTTTTCTTACACTAATTTTGAAGTATCTAGTCAATAACAATTTGCTCATATAAAAAAATATGTTGCCTTTTTCTTAGCAAAATGAAGGCAGATGCTTGTGCCACATTCACAAATGCACTGAATCTGCAGAGGACAGCCAAATGCAGCCATGATAAGTGGAACTCTAGGAACACCAGGGAAAAACTTATTGTCTTGGAAACTGCACAGCTAATCTCCTGATTCTGCTGGTTAATAATGGCTAAAAGGTTATAGCAAACAACCCCAGAATTTGTATTAAACAATGGTGGAAATCACTTTACATAAATTCTGCTACTTTGTTTTCATTTGTGGTGTGAACTTTACTCACTGTTCCAGTTTGCTCTTTGATCATTTGACATATGGTTTGCTTCCTCTTTTTCCTATGTTTAGTGGACAACTGAGCAGTTTCCCAAGGAGCTATATACACAAACATTTGCAGTAAAGTTGGTTGTCTGTTATTGTTAGAATTGAAAAAAGGGAGACTTATTTCCTTCTGTACAGATTGCTTTATCTTTTAGTGTGACTGCAATGAATTGTATAGATGCTAAATTCTATATAGTGGTAGTGGCCGTGGTTTTTAATAATTTTAAGTCAAGTTTCAGAGAATCATAGAATAGTTTGGATTGAAAGGAACCTTAAAGATCATCTAGTTCCAACCTCTCTCCTCCAGGCAGGGACACCTTCCACTAGATCAGGTTGCTCAAAGTCCCACCCGACCTGTCCTTGAATATGGGTATATTGTCTGTGATGGTAGTTCATATATAAACCACTTCTTCTCCATAGAGCATCTTCATAATGGGTGGAAATAAAACATGTATACACGTTGCAAAAATATTAAACACTGCTATTGTTAATAATACAGTTCAGTTTGCATTTCAGTGAACTGCATTTCAGTTTATGTAAACTTCTCTCCACATTTGGAACAAGGATGGACGTGAGGGGTTTTTTACATCAGTTATGTGCCAGTTCCCCGTCTCTTAAGAATCATCCAGGATCTGGACAAGGTAAGTTTCCTATATGTGGTTGCACTTTGTGTGTAGTCAGTAAGAACAACATGGGTTGCCATGGGTGTCTTAGCAGGTTCTCCTTTTTACCTGTGCCTCCTGGCATGCAGGTCATGCCTGGATTGGGCTTTGAGCTGAGAAGGAAACTTCTCTGTTGAGAGACCATCCTTCACCTCTTTCTAGTACCTCTCTCTAAAAGGAAAACTTGCCTGATTTGAAAGCAAGAGCCATTCATGCAAGAGGGGAGAAAGATGAAGATGCAGGCAAGAGAGGGAGTGAGAGTTTCCTCTGGGAGCTAGGGTGAGAAGCAATCTTGGATAGACTGACCAAGAGAAATGAGATACAGAACAGGCAACAGAGGAACAGGACGCTGTGGACATGGTTTACGGAGATTTGTAACAAGATACAGTGTGACAGGATGAGGACCTTGAGCCTAGACATGAATGAAATGAAATTAATTAATTAAATTATTTAAATTAAAAAATAGAGGAGGCAAGAAGAGAAAGGGGACTATTTATCACAAAAACAGGGTAAAATCTGGGTAAGCAAAGCAATCAGTCCAGGACTGGAGGTAGAAAGACATAGCTTCAAAGTTTTTATTCTCCCAAATGGTAATGTATTTTCACATCTTAATGGAATATTACAGGTTTTCTCTTTCATCCATATGTGCAAAATGCATTTCAATATATTAAAAAGATTGAATGTTTCATTTGTTGTAGGTTGTATGTGCTATGCACATGTTTTCAACAGTGCAAGCAAGTGTATGATACACCTGCTTTTGCTTTCTCCTCAGGGAAAAATGTTTTTACCATCTTTCAAGTAGCATCCTATAGTGACAGAAGCTACATTCCTAACCTCCTGGGAAGCAAATACCAGAGAATAACAGAAGTGTCTATACCCTGAGTGTGTGCAATCAAGGTAGAACAATTAAATTTACTCCATGTGTTCCCGTGATGTCCCATTTAAATCAAGACAATATCTGCAGATTATCACTGTGAAGAGCCTCCCAATATCAGTTTTTGTTATACTTGCATCTGTTCAACGGAATTTACAGTGAATTTGTATAAACTAGAAATAAAACTTTAAAAAAACAGCAGAATAGGCTTCATCTGGGATCAGAGCAATTTAGAGATGGAATATGTTTTGTTATTTTAAAACACTTGTGGTTGCAGAGGAGCACTTATCCAAGAGGCTGAAAATTTCGCTTATTTGAGGTGTAATGTCTGTCAAGAATATTAAAGCTAATATCCATGTTTTGAAGCTTTGTATACTTAATCTTAGCTAAAGCTATCTTGTCAATTGTTGCTGTGAAAAAGGAGTTAGCAACAAGATAGTCTCATTTTCAGAGGATATTTTATTGATCAGGTCGCTACAATTTTGAAGGGAACTCAAAAGATTAAGGAAGCAAGTGAATTAGCTTAATAAGGTGAAAACCCACAGATGACATATACAATGTGATAAATAATTAGATTAAGAATAATCCAGGCATTCCTGGATTTGATACTAAATGAAATTTTAAATTAATTAAAAAACCAGAGTTGGTGTATCCTCCTAGTTATAAAAACAAGCCAAATGTTAAAATGTTTAAGTATGATGTAAAAATAGAATGCTCTATAGCTGCTGCATAAATCCAATGTATAGTCTTCTCTGTAGTGTGTCATGTTCAGTGAGAAGAAAAAGATGCAGCAAAAATAGATAGTGAAGTTTTTTCATGTCTCTAGGAATTTTCATATGAAAACAGCTTTGGGAATTGAATGGTAGACAGTGTGAGAATGGCATGTAATGTTATGCTTTAGTATTTAGAAGGTCTAATTTATACTTTACATGACACAAAAAGCAAGATGAATTAGTCAAGTTGGCAGGCAACAAACTTGCATTGTATATATTTATCACCATACTCTATTAAAACAAGGAATCACAATGTTCACAAGGTTAAAAGATTGGTGAGTTACCAAAAACTGGTTGTATTAGATTTTTCCATTTGCATTTTTATATGTGTGAATGGGAAATTTTGCCTATTTACTGTTCAAGATTTTTAAATGCTTCCATTAAAAAACCAAAGAAACAAAGAAATAACAATCGTAAAACCTTTGTCATTACCTTTTGTGAGATCCTAACATTACTCAACATTCAGCTCAACAGTAGAGCTGAAGAATAGGCCTGGATACAAAATGGGTCCAGTAGACACAGTTACAAAATTAAGAAAAGATAGAGGGGGAATGGAGAAAAATAGAGGACATAATAATTGGCATGACAACATGAAGTCCTGTAGCAATCATACAGCACTTAGTATTTTATATGGAATGACAAATTCAGTGCAGTTCCTGAGAGAGCAGGAGAGAGACAACAGTGTTGCCGCCCTTCCCTGTCTCTCCTGACTGTAAACTGGCACCTGGACAAGCCAAAGGCCAAAGAGTGAAAGTAGTTGGTTTGCTATAAGAGTTACATTTAATTAATTATGGTCACTTGAGGGTGGTTGTTTTGGAGGGTTTCAGTACAAAGCCA